CTTTTCCCATTTAGCCGTCTCTGCGCTGCCCGAGACCGCCCCGGGAGGTGCACATTCCTAGGCTCCTTTCGGCCACTGCTCACTGTGGAACCGCCGGCCATCAGCCCACCTCCCATCACCACACGCCGAGGGGCGGGAGCCGTGCGGGGCCCTGCGCCGTGTGCCGCCCCGGCCTAGGCGGTGCTGGGGGCCCCGGTGGTGTTGAATGACAGCGCGGCTGTCTTGCAGATTCATCCTGTCGGGTTCAGCGCCCGCCGCGTTCTGGGGCTCGTGGCCCCTGTCCCATCCCATGCACCCCTCCTTTCCTGGGATTTGAGGAGGCAAGCCAAGACCGGGAAGCGGACGGGTGGCCACCTCCCGCCTCCCGCCTGCTCCTGCTCTGCAGGTCGCTGTTTAAAGGTCACTTTCCTGGCCCTGCCGACAAGGATAGGTCTCCTCGTCCTACCCTCTTACAACGCTCTGTTCTTTCCCATTTTAGAACCGATCGCAGTTGCCACTACGTAAATACTTCTCTTTCTAGAGAGAGGATATCTTAATCATTGCTATTTCCCCAGCTTCTGCCTAGAACAGAATCTGGTACAGTGGTTTTGAGAATGCAGTCTGGTGACTTCTGAGGGTCTTTAAGACCCTAACAGGGCGTCTAGGAAGTCAAGCTATATTCCTAATACTATTTAAATGTCATTTGCTGTTTTCACCCTCCTCCTTTCCAGAGTGCACAGAAAAGTTTTCAAGAGAGTAGATGATTTACAACCTCTATTGGCCGGTGGAGTGTTTGCTTGAGTACTGCTCTTGTGTTTTATAGACTCAGAATTTCTAAGGTCTAGGGTATAAATATGTGCGTTTTCAGAATTAACTCAGTTTGTCCTCAGGGATTCTAGTGTGTTCTTACAAGCTATCTTCATGATGAAATAAAAATTCATATTATAAGGCAAGGAACATTTAAACATAAACTTTTCCTCTGCCGGTTTGCGCTTCCTCCCTCCTCTTTTGTGTGCACTGTGCATCTGCGTTATTCATTAATCTAACCTCCCCAATGGCAGAAATATCTGCTCAATTCTTCTTCTGGCTCCAGCCATGTAACTTCTTAGAAGATAACGTTCCTTTCTCAATCCTGTAAGGAGTTACAGTGACCTACTGTTCACCTTGTACATGCAGACGTCTTAGGTGAACTCTGTGTACAATGGCAGTAGAGCAGTTCCCTGAAAGATAGCGGCTAATGCAGAACAGACTGGTCAGATGACCTGGGGAGATACTGGGCCACATCTATGGAAGTTCTTAGCTTGCATACTTACTTATGACCTTATTAATGTTAGTAGGTATATTACTTCTGTTTGGCCTGTTTTACAAGATTAATGTTTCTTGCATTACCAAATGCGTGACTTGAGCCTCAGATGAAATTAATGATGATTAGGGGACTTGAAACAGTTGATCCAATATATATAGTTCTATAAGATTAACGATTCTAATAATGTAAGTCTAGATATGGGAAGGAGCGACAAGAGGGAATCATCATATGTTCTTGGGCCATAACAGACAATAACATAGGCAGTCCAGAGGCCTTTGGTTACTGTTAACAGGGCCCAGTCTGGTAATAGTACCTTGAGTGGCCTATCAGTGAAATCCTCGCCTGCCCTGGGAATGAGCATTCCTAGCACCATGCGACAAATTGGTCACGAAATGCCTCCCAAACCTCAGTCAAAATTAAGACCAAAAGAGAAGAGATTGTAAAATAGAGGATGTTGACCACCACCCAGTTCTACAAAAATCAAGTCATTAGTTAGTGCAGTCACTGACCTACAACACACCCTGAAAGGAATTCAGGGCAAAGATCAGGATGAGACACTTTGTGTTCCGGAAAACTGGCAGAACTGGCCCCCAGGTAGTTAGATATTTTCAGGAGAAATTTTTATGAACTCAGTTTCTTGCATCTTCTTATACTTAGAAAAGCACTAAAACCATTAATTTACATACCTATTCCTCTGCTAAGATGTGTGCTGGATTGCACTTACCCCTTCACCAAAATCACATATACACTGACCTTCCCCTATACCACTTCAGAACAGCTCTCAGTGTTCTCTGAGAGACTGTCTCCCAGGTTATAATCCTCAGGTTGTCTCAAATAAAATTTTCCATTTCTTTCTAAGAAAGAATTTTGTCAACATTCATTTGTACCTAATCTCTTTAACCTGATTAATCATCCAATAAATCGTTTTTTGAAATCTCCAAATTTTCCTTGTACCTATGCAGAAACACAAGAAAAAATTCAGTTTTTCACTTGTTTTGCAGGCATGTTTTTACTTCATTGAAAACTTTTCCAAATAGTTAAATCTTATCTAAAACTGTTATTCTTCTAGAATTTAATATTTTACAGTAAAAATAAAATTTTACTTGTAATTTTTTTAAATTTTAGATTCTTTCATTGGCTCACAAAAGAGAGATTAGAAGACTTGCTTTCTCAACTTGCCACAGCTAAGGATGCTGAAAAAGATGATATTGACATGAATAGCAGAGGATTCTCTATACAGGTAAGGGGAAGAATCTGGGTAGAACTGTAAATGAGAAAGGAAAGCATGACAAAACCATCTTTCTTCTCCTTTGCTTTAGAGATGTTAATGATTTACCTTATGTTGTCTTATTCTTCAGAACATTTCTAATACTATTATGGTGCCAGTTAGATTTAGGCATCATTTTGAGACCAATCGTTCAGAGTTTAAAGAGAAGGGAATTGAGTATTTTAAACATGATAACCACTTTAAAAGCCAAAGCTTTTTTTTTTGTTACCACTTCTCAAACTAGAAATGAAAAACCCACTGAAGCATCTTACAGGTTAAAGTATTATATTGCACTGGCTGGAGAAGGGCATAAAATAGCTAAGAGACTAATAAAGCTTGTTCGTTCCTGGGTGAATGCCTGCAAGATGAAAAATCAGTTGAAGAAATCAGAGCAATGCTGTTTTCCAAAGATGCAGTAATTCACCAACTTAGGAATTTAGTTGCAAACATAAAGACTGAGTTAACATCCTATCCACAGGATTATACTGCCTTTAAGGTGGATGAAAATTGTATAATTATAGATGCAGCTAGACTTTTTTCTTTGCTTATATCTATCCAGTGTCAGCACCAACTAATTCCTGAAGATCTTTTATATAAGTGCTTGGCAATAAACTAAAGTGGCACTGAAATAAAACATTCTACAATTTTTTTTAAGTCTCATAGTTTATCCTGGAACAACTGTGCTGATATCTGCACTAACAGTATAAAAATCAACGCTGGACAACACTGCTGGCACCTTGGCACAAATCAAGGCAGACGCTCCCAAGTGTTCTCTTTACCACCAAACACTCATTTTTTAAAAAAATGCCTGTTCCACAAAGAATATCTTTAATTAAGCAGTAAGAATTTTTAATTTTATTAAAAATTGACCCTTGAGTACATTTATTTCTTTTAAATATTGCATGTGACACATGAGGCAGTTCTGATGCACAACCAGGATCTCTCAGGGAAAAGCACTGGTGCAGTTGTTTGACTTGAAAGCTGAACTAGACACTTCTTCATGGAATACAATTTTAACTGATTAACAAACAATGGTTTTCTTGAAAATGAACAATGAGTCTGTCACTTCAAGGGAAAAACCTGACAATATTCATTACCACCGAGAAAGTTCAAGCTTTCAAGTGAAAATTAGAATTTTGAAAAATGTGTATCTGCCACCAGAAGTTTGATAATTTCCTAATAAGTAAGAACTGTTCTGATAAGATCAGTGGTGACATTAATGAATGTTATTTTTTAATACTGTATAATTTAATGTGTCAAAACTCAGAAGATCGATATAACTCAATGAAACAGTATTTTCCAAATGACCAATGCATGATGTTATAAAATTATGCATGAAGATCTATTCAAAGTGCATATGGACCAATGATGTTAATGTAACCCAACATGAAAAGGTCACTGATATGTTTTCAAATCCCACATTGCAACAAACCTTTGAGAAACTACTGCTTTTAGAGTTTGGGTGGATATTGTATCAAAGAAGAATAACCACAATTATTTGAAAAGGCTATTAAAATACTCTTTGCTCCCAAACTATATATCTGTATGAGACTGGGTTTTCTTCATAAATTTCAAACAACATAACAATCAGTGGAAAGCTTATAATGTCTCCCAAGGCTATGGCTATGTCCTATTGTTTGGAATTTGTGGATGTTACCTTATATGTAAAATTTGTGCAGATGTGATTAAATTAAGGATCTTGAGATAAAGAGATTGTCCTGGATTATCCCAGTGGGCCCTAAATGCCCTCATAAATGTCCTTATAAAAGAGAAACAGAGGGAGATAAGCCACCACACACAAAAGAGGAGAAATTGATATAAAGATAGAGGCAAAGATTTGAAGGAAATAGTCAAAAATTCAGGAATGCCGGCAGCCACCTGAAGGAATGAATTTTCCTCTAGAGCTTCCAGAGGGAGTGCTTCCCTGCCCAAGCCTTGATCTCAGTTGAACCTCTGGCCTCCATAACTATAAGATTTCTGTTGTTTGGAGCCACCAAGTTTGTGGTAATTTGGTACAGCAGCCCCAGGAAACTGATATAAACCCCAAAGCCACAGATTAAATGCAGAACCAGGCATGAG